TATAAAAGCGTGGATGAGTGAAATTGGATTGCTGATTTGCAAAATTGAAGCCTCTGATTGGTCCAATTTCGGTGGCGATTGCTGTATTTTGAGCAATTTTAGTGGCATTTTTATAACATCACCACCAAAAAGCCACTGAAATTGATCTAAATTATCAAATAACCGATCCAAACAATCAAACTCAATAACCAATCACAACGAACAAGCGAATGAATTGAATTCTCACCCGCAGCGGCATCCGCCTCCTCCTCTTTCCTGAAGTTAGATGCATGGCCACGGTTCTAGAACCGCCGGTTCTGGTTCTTCAAAGAGGTAGAACCAGAACCGCACCATCTAAGATGGTTTTGGTTCTGTGTGATTGTATACAATTTTATTTAATTCCTTATCCTTACCAATTTTAATGCGAATATAACAATATATTTAAAATTTCAAATAGAATGTAAAAAAATAAATACAAAATAAGATCATATTTTAATTTTATTATTATTCTACAAAGTACAAAGTAATAAATAGATAATAAAAATTTTATGAAAAGTACGTTACATTGTCAAATTAAAAAATACATTACACTATCAAATGGTGATCATTTTAAATGGAAAAGAAAATGCATGATTTTTTCATTGAAATTGAGATGAAATATCAAAACAAACATTAATTATTTAATCATCTTCATTGCTTGCGACGACACTAGAATCAGTTGTATAATTGAATTCTTCTTCTTCATCTTTTTCCATTTCTTGTTGTCTATATTCTGCTCTAGTCCAATCATCCACGCATGCTTGAATTTCTAGTGATTCTAGGCTTAACCTCGACTTTGTCTCACTACTTTCTTAAACTTTCTTAATTCTAGGCTAAAAATTTAAACTTTCTTAAAACCTATTAAACACAACTAATTTTTTCAAATTATCTTATTACTTATATTAATTATTTTTAATTATTTTTTAACGATTCTGGAACCGAAGGTTCTGGTTCTGATTCTATTTTTTAGAGAACCGAAACCTTTATCCAAGGTTCTACCATGATTCTGGTTCCACGGTTTTGATTCCGGTTCCGGTTCCAAATGGGAACCATGGCCATGCCAAAGTTAGAAGGTTCGGTGGGTCGGCTGTCTATAAATTTTGGTATACCTGATGTCAAAGGTAAGAATTTTATGTAGAATTTTCATTAAACTAAAGCCAATTGTCTAGTTTCAAGAAAAAAAGAACATAATTAATTCATAACAGAGAAAAAGAGTATCATGTTCTTGTGGGAATGCTCAGTTAAGCCCAAAATTCTTCAAACCATGGCTGCATCGGCCGTTTCATTTTGAGCCCGTATCTCATTTTAGTTGAGCCCATCACGCGCACAACTTTTGATCAGATATGGGTTGCTAAATGGGACGAGGGCTTTCCTCCCAGCACCTCTCTTTTTTAATTCTTGGAAAATATTTCGCTGCACTATTTTGTGGCAGAAGCACCTAGGCGAGGATATAATTTTTTTTTTGCCGATACGATATAATTACATTTATTTGATGCTATGGGGAGGGAAGGACCTAAAGAGGTCAAGGGAAAATCTAAGAAGATACCATACCTAAGCTAGACCTAGGCAAGGATATCATACCTAAGAGGAAACGTAGAATCGCCTCTATCTAATATCTACCCTTGATCATACATATATATAGAAGTTGACCTTTGACCAAAAAAAAAAAAAAAAACCTACCCTTGATCTGAATGTTGATGGGTCTAAAGCCATACCATCTTAGATCAAAAGTTAGCAGAATTGAAACCCACCCGCTTTAGATGATTCCGAAGAAAACAAATTTCTCTCACTAAAAGCTATGTTTTGAAACTCGAATCGGCTATCGACTCAGTATAGGTCAAGAATTAGGGATCAATGGGTTGGTCGAACCCATCCAAGAACCGAATGGCATCATTGTGATATCATAAATATATTTAATTTGAAAAATTAATATATTATGTAGAATTTCTAAAAATATATTAATACTAAGAAATGTAGGTTCAATGTATATTTGATGTTTCTAAGATACTTTACAAGAAAATACAAATAAGGTAGTATAATTAAGTAGCAATTTATGCAATTTACAATTTAATTAGAACCAAATTGAAGGGCTTATTTGAAAAGTAATACAAGAAATTAGGACTATTGCTATAAGTTCTAAAATGTTTCTAGGTGTAATAATAGTTTTCTAGTACTCTGAGGGTCAAATCATAAAATTGATAAAATATTTCTAGGTGAATTTTTTATTTTCTTTTTTTAATGTTTTATTCCTTTTTAAACTTAGATCTTCCATTGGAGTTGTTTGAGAGAGATTTATGGTAGGGTTTGTGAAGAGATTTGAGAGTAATTAAAAGGAAGAATCACAAAAGGAAAACAAAAAGGGTAAAAAAGGAAAAGATGGAAAAAATTAAAAAAGCTCAAAAATACAACAATGGTCAGAAACGGCACACAATGTTGGCGGCAATTGTGTACAGCACATGCCCCATGCATTTAGTTTTTAAGTGGTCCCCACTACACAAACCAATGTCCGTCTTTACTTTTCTTTAGATCTTAGCCGGTTAGACTCCGGTTGAAGCGGTTCTTTCGGTCAAACCCGACTTTTGATTGGATTTGACCAAGTTTTGTTTCATGATTTTTTAAAGATCGGATGTCAACTCGGTTTTTGGTTCAATCAATTGAACCGATCGACCTGAGCTTCAAAACATAGACGGAAAGGCAAATCAAGGTGTTCAGTATTCAAATTGAGTTCAACTCGATTGAAGCAAGTTCGAATTTGATTCGCTAATTAATCAAATAAAAAATAAACACACAATTTTGTACATTGTAAAATTTCAAAGTCAACTCAAACTTGACTCAATTAACGTAATATTGAAATTTGCATGTGAACTAGTCAAATGACTCAAACTCAACTCGGTTTTGACTCAATAGAAACTCATCCGAATTTTACTTGATAAATAAAAAAGCCTAACTTTTAAACATGATTTTAAATTCCGTAAAACAAATAAACAAGTTTGAACTGTAAATTGTTTACTTTTGTTAGCCTCGTTTGCAACCTTAAATGTATCTAATATCGAGAAAGAGCAAAATGGGCCATTCGAGCCCCTAAATTTTGAAGCGGACTTGACCTCACAATCAAGCAAACAGGGGCTAGGAACAAGTTTCAAGAGAAATTGATCCAGTAATATTTAAAAAAAAAAAAAAAGAGAGAAAAGTTAATCCCGAGTAATTATTCATTGTTTGGCGTCCATCACAAATTGGAAAGTTGACTGAGGATTGTACAATGTTGATGACGTCCGCTGATACCAGTCAGGGGACGCGTGGAAAGTTGACGGTCGCTATTGTCAGACCCGTGCGATGTCGTCTTGCTTCTTTGGAGGGGGTTACGGTAGGCCTTGTCACCCAACTCCAAAACAACGGGCCCCACTAACGGCGCGACGCCGTTATCTGGCGGTTGAGTCATCAATTAGGAAGGGGACTGATTCAACACCTGGCCTTCGCACCGGGGAAGTAGGTATTCGGGCCCCACCACTGCTCGACACGTAGCGGCTTAAGCTGGAGGGGCAGCACATGCAAAACTGGACCAATAATACAAATCAATGTTAATCGTTAATCAATTTATTGTCGCCTCTGATTATCTTAATCACGCTAATGTCATCTTGCGGTACAAGTCCACAGGTTATCAGTAGTGTCACTTCTTAAAGACGACTCTACCCCTTCATTTTTCTGCCTATGGTGGCAAGATGGTTTAGCTCCATGACTAGTTACTTGGTTTACTTGCCTCATGAATTTGACTAAATATTAAGCTTCCATTTGAATTGCTATTTTTTGAAATTTTTTTATAGAAAAATATACCGTAATAATTTGATTATATTTGATAAAAATGTGATTGAAAAATATATTCACGAAAAACGTAAAATTTTTTTGTTAAAAAGTCATAATCCAAACAAGAAAGCTTCACTTTATATTAGGCTTTGCATTTTCTGATGTATCTAAAAAAAATTTGTATGTTTTTAGCACTAAACGAGTAATGTAACTTTTGTTTTGAGAATTTCTTTTTTTTTTAAGTAAATAGATCATAATTGTATGTACATATTTCCATTTTTAAGTAGTTTGAATCTTATCTCATAATAGTCCCTTTAAATTTAGACTGAGTTATTTGGTTAGTGTACATGCTTTGTTTAGATCGTCATTTTTCTCTAAAAAATTTTTTAAGGTTTTTGTGAATATATTTTCTAATCATATTTTTATTTTACATATATTAAATCACCAGAATATATTTTTCTATTAAAACTTCAAAGAATAGCAATCCAAACGAGTTTAGAAGGACAATTGGTCTACTAATTTATCCATTGTCTTGAAATAATTTTTGAATACTTCAATTTTCAAACAATAAAGACTGAAAAATACTTTTCTTTTTTTTTTTAAAAAAAAAGGTAATTCTTTTATTTACGATGAAAGACAATCTGCAACATATCCTCCTCGACAATATAACTTAGAATTCTTGTCTTAGTCACAAGATTGCCTTCCTTATAAAGCAACTTGGGAATGGTGAATCCCAATGCCTCTCTCCAATTTGCTAATATGAATTGTCAAAACAAATTTGGAATGGATCGATGTAACGAGAATTTGATTACTTCCATATGCTAGTTGTGTAACCAATGTGTTCATAGGCAAATTAGATCTTAATTGTTAAATTAACCTTTTCATTTAAAATATTTTCTACTTTTTTGCACAGAAAATGACATCAAATTTGTTTATCCAGTCTGCATGATTGGGTAATATATAGGGTTACTATTTGAAGAAGGCATTGGACATTAACGTCATTATGGGCAAAATCTAGGGCGGAGTCTGTCCAAGCGGCAGCTGGAAGTCGTAATACCTGTCAACTGTTATTATTATTAAACTATTATATTAAACAGGGAAGGAAAGAAAGAAAGAAAGGGAAGCAGAAGACATCGCTGTCTTTAAGATTGATCCTAAGATTGAGTTGTACATTCGCATGCCACTCGATCGATCTGGTCACTCTCTCTTACCTTCGCTTCTCGATTCTCTCTCCTCTCCTTTTATCTACCTGCCAGTCTATGGCCGTCTTTCCATATTCATCATCATCTCCTGCTACGACAAAAACCCCACCTCACACGGCATTCAGAGACTGAAACAACTCCATCAACCCTCTTTTATCTTCTTAGCCTTATGGGATTGCATGCATGAAAGGGATCCAAAACCTGTTTGCTCATGATCTAGTGTAAGTCTTCTTGAGATTAATCCCTCTTCGATATCTGCATGTTTTGGTTTTTATATGTACTACAGTTTCTTTTCGACACTTTTGCTTAATTTGTTGGGGAGTTCATATATATATATATCTCTTCCTTTTTTTAAAAAAAAAAAAAATAAAAATTTACGCATGTAGCAGAGTGTGATAATGAGTTGAGGATGCATAACTTAACTCCATTTCGTTTGGGGTTATGCATTTGTTAGTGGGCATTATTGTCTTGATCTTAACATCTACTAGTGCAACAAAGAAAATGGATCTTACCCTCGTTTTGAAAAACATTTTTTTGTCGTTGCAGTTTACAGTAATAAACTCCAAAAATAATTCTAAGACATCCCAATGATATATCTATGGTGTTAAGTTTTTCACATACACCACTTCGATCAGTAAAGTATTCTGTAATTTGACTTTTCATTTAGATATCAAGAGGAGTTCAGTTGTTAGGAGTATTCTATTGCGTGACCCGAAATGTGCTGCAACATATATAGATAGGTCTTCTTGCTTAGTTGCTGCAGGTAAATTTGCAACAGGTGATTGTGAAGAGACGAGGCTAAAATAGTAAGAATCAGTTATAGCTACTATTTACTAGTAGATTCAGGATTTTATCTCTTTTGGCAACTGAATAATTTAATACTCTAGATGGATGGAAAAGCAAACAAGAAGATGAGTTATGTCCAAAATCCGAAACTACGATCGCGTAAATAAAGTAAGCACAGAACAAGCCCGTAACCTCATAGGCCGATTTGCTTTGGTATCTCTTTGATGGATTATGTTTCACTTTTGTAGTCTCCAAAAATTTAGGAATATTGAAAGTTAGGATAGATGTTTTAAAAATCGGATCGGACCAGTTGATTCGATCGATCGAACCGTAAACCAACCGCGACATCGGTTCGATTTTATGAAAAACTCAAAAGTTAAAAAAATCAGTCGAAACCCGCGAACCGAAATGAACGGCGGTCAAGTCAGGTTTTTGAATTTTTTACTTGGGGCTTCAACTTTTTTTTTTTTTTTCCTAATGGCTGCTGACTTTTTTGGGCTTTTAGTTTCTATCAAAGCTTAACAACTACAACTAATTGTCTGCTACTAAAATTAAGTTGGTTGATGGGCCTTTTTTCTCAAATTAAAAACAAAAAAACTTACCTAGCCCAACTTAAAAGCAAAATAACTAATCCAACTAAAAACTAAAGAAACTTTCAATCGTCTTTCCTCCTGTAAGAATTTTCACCTCCAGGCCCGCTTGACAAGCCTCGCTTATCTCCATTTTTTACCCTCTTCTCTTCTATTTTTTCTTTTACATTATTGATGATGAAGATGATAATGAAGTTGAGCTCAATAGATAAAGAAACACAATTGTTTTCCCTTTCCTCTTCTATCTTTTGTTTTCATATTCATATTTTTCTCCTTTTTTTTGGAGTTAATTTTACAAATCCTATCAAATTTGTTCTTCAGTTGGGAAAGTTAAACTCGTCCTTGTTTAATTTAAAATATTGGATAGATTTGTTCATAATTTTGTTGATTCTTTATTTCTTTATGAAATGCTTTTTCTTTTATTTGGCCGATGAATGAGAAGGTAACAGATTAGTAAATCTTCTCCATAAGATATTACAAAATTTAGGATTTTGGCGTTGATTTTATATATTTCTGCTTATTTGTTATCTTTTATTTTTAAAAATAATAAATAAATAAATAAAATCAATGAGCTAGGATTGAACCGGTCGAACCTTGACTCGGCCACTTTACCGGTTCGATCACCGGTCTGAGTTCCAAAATATTGGTTAGGATCAAGTAGGAAATCGACAATTTTAGAGCAAAACTAATGCGGTCCAAAAATTCTACTGTATTCAACATATTTTAAAGAGTTCTTTTGGGGAAAAAAATACCGAGGAATTCGATGAGAGATGCTTTCCTGAATGTAACTGAACCATCATGAGTCGCCCCACTTCCATGAAATTTAATGCTAAGAACACGGTCTTTGAATTTTTTTTTATTTAACGCTAACACATCCTGGTAATTTTGTTGTTATCATCAGCAGATTACAGCAGAGTAAATATCAAAACTATGCGGGAAAAATCAGGCACATTTGACAAACTGGAGTCCGCTGTGAAAAGCATTTCACATGCATCAACTGATTCACGGAGTTATTTGAGTGGTTTCGAAAATAACAGTAGTGTCTCCACAGAAGTATTAGTGTTTGGTAATAGCAGATCAAGTCTAACCTTGCCTAGCCAACAAAATGCTGGACTGGTGACAACATCTAATGAATTAGAAGCAAAGTTTTTGGAGAGAAGTGGAGGTGAAATATACAGAGAAGTGGAAACTGCAAAGTTCCTAGAATCAGGTACTAAGGATTTATAGTAGTATCAACACGCTTCCTGTATTTTCCCGCTTTCCAATTTTAATTTTGGCTTGCAGGATGTAACAAGCGATTCTTTCTAAGTCTGGCCTTTTTTAAGATCCAATAGCAGTTTGGTGATTGCTGTTGCTTCTTAACGATGGTTGGTTCATTTAAATGTGTATAAAAAAGCAAAAATAGAGCACACTCAAAATGTCATTTTTTGAGTCTCAACAAGACGTATGTTGCTTGCAAAAGGGAAGAAAGGAAAGCTCTGAAAGGGACATTTTTGTTTTGTTTCCATCGCCAATATGTTTGATGCTGTATCCATTGTGCTTCTTGTGTCCTTTTGGCACTTTTGTGGAAGTGGCTGATAGGTGAATTTGTTTATACCATATGTACCAAAAGTTAAAGCGAACGTCTTGGAACAACCAATGTCTTACCATTCCAAGGCTCCTCTTGGGTAACTTCTATCAATTAGTGTTTTAAAAAGTTCTTAATTTATGCTTGTCTAATTGTTGTCTTCCACTCTCTGCCATTGACATCCTTATTATGATTACACCACATTACTATAATCTTTCCATTGACATTCAATTCAATGTTAATCTTGTGTATTCTTTGATTTGTGAGTAAAATAAAGAAGTAGTTCATTAGTTTCTTAAGTGTAGTATAAGGGCTATGTCTTCTTTTTGCTACAATGAGCAATCATAAGTACTTACTGATTTAAATGATACGGATGTCAAGATAATTTTTTTTTTTTGGTCTGAATGTTTAGACCAAAATAGTGCACAAGAACTTCTCAAATTCTCAAGTATAGCTTCTCCGACGATGAGCGAACATCTAATACCAGTTACTCAACTGAAACTTGTAAGCAATCATCCAATGTATTTCTCTTCCTTCTTCCAACGTACATATGTGAGAATCCATGGCTTCCATAATTTAATTGGAATTTTTGTTTGCATCTAAAATTAATATGTTTCTTTCATGAACCTGAAATTATTATTGTCATTGTCTTTGTAATAAATCTTTGCTTTTTTTTTCTCTTTTCCTTTCCCAGGCATGCACAACATATCCTTGTCCAGAATCATCTTTTTGGGGTAATTCGCCTGATCATGGTCAAACTTGGGTATGTAAGCCGGACTCTCTCCTCTATATACACATTTTGGATATATGCTTGGTTTGAATCTGCATTTTCTTTGTGCCTGCTAATGTTGATGCTGTGAACGTGGTCAGTCTCTGTCTTGAGCATTCTTCTTGGTCCACTGCGATCATTGCAGAATTAGGGGTTTCAATAGCTTTTTTGTTCCATGAATTTGAAAATCCTTAAAGAAGTTACTCCGATTCTTGATTTATTTCTTTGTGCACTGTAAACTAAACTTGTTATGCTCAAGCATTTGCTATGCATGATGCGTTAATAATTTTTTGCTTCACTGGATTAAGCATTAATACGAATGAAACTGTCTAGAGTGACTCCAAATCTTAACAGTTTTTGCTGGCTTTTGTATCTCCATGTGAAAGATATGTGAAAGATAGATTGATCAATGTCACTTCAGAAATCTAAATGTCATCTCAGGAACATCAAGTTTTGAGACATGGACAACTATAATCACTAGAACTACTGAACATTGAACAGGGCTTGATTCAAGGTGATAATTAGTGGAACTGCAACCAATAATTTCAAATTTGCGTAAATTACAGCAACTAACAAGTCATACTTGACTATATATAAACTATAACATCAGATTTGATTTGCAGAACAGATATCCAACTATTATATACAGAAGCTTCATTAGTTTTGCTGAGTAGTCTTGAAAATTGCCGTACAAAGATTCAGGTAGAAGTAACAAAAAACTAACATATCATCAACATAAACATAAAGCAGGAGGAGCCCTTTTGATGTTACCTTTTACATATATTTTCTGAATTACCCTTGGCCTTCAGCCTAACACAATATGAGAACTTAAACACAAAACAAGATTCTCTCTCCAATTAGAGGATATATGCAATGGCAGTGACAAATGTCCTAGGTATGCTGATCAGCAAACTAAAGTAGTAGTTAAAAAATTGATTCATTGACTTGGAACTTTTCTTTAAGTAACGATATCCTCAGCTCTAATGTTATCCTTAAATCTTTTTTGTACTTAATGCAACTTAGCAATGATGAGTATGATTATTGCTGGATTTGCTGTTGGAGATACTGTACTACTAGTGCTTCCAGATATAAAAGGTTCTTTACTAATGTGCTTAACGGCCTTTGATTTATAAAGTGCCTGATAACTAGGATGTAATGGATAACAATGGGTGGCCATCTTAGAATTAAACATATCTAGTGGATGAAGAAACATATTATTTTTGGTGTGCAATTAAATATTTTGGAAGAAGACTACATCAACATAACTTACCAGAAAGAACAAAACCAGTGAGAGAGATTTAGATAACAGTTTTCATTTGGATGTTTTATGTCTTCACCTGAAAATTTTTTTTCCAGGAAAATGGCATGCGTGGAAAAAGTGATTCTGGCAACCGTTTCCTGCTTTCAGATGACAGTTTAGAGGTTGTTAATATAGCGTAGAATATTTTTTATAACAAATTTACACTCTATCCGAGTTTAGATCTAGTTGACTGCATGGATATAAGGTAACATCTATAATGGTCTGATGGCATTGAAGAATTATGTGTTAGTTTGATTGTAAAGTATGTTTAATGTGTCATAAGTGCATCAATCAGTCTACGCCAAGCAAGTGGTACGGTATCCATGAGAAAAGGGGGCGGGACCTAAAATCCATCAATATTTTCATGAGTTGGTTGAAAGGATGATATGCAAATGTATTTTACTAAAGAAATGCTTCTAAGAGCTGATGAGATTTAAACTACTTTTCGTCCAGCATAGGGGCACGCTGTATGGAATTTCTGATGTGGAGCTGAGTGGGGAGATTGATTCAGTTATCTTCCTTCTGTTGTTTGATCTGTTTGCGAGGAGTATAACACAAAGACTTTCCAGTTTCAGAGACAGCTTAGTTCAGCACAAACTTTTCTTTTTGTCCTAATGTAATGTTTTACATAATATTTTGTGTTTTAGGTGCATCCAGACTTGCAAAGTATGCACGACTCTAGGTTGGCATTGCCTCTTGAATTGGCGGAGGAACCAGTGTATGTGAACGCGAAACAATACCATGGGATTTTAAGGCGAAGACAACTGCGTGCAAAGGCTGAGTTGGAAAATAAGGTGGCGAAAGCTAGAAAGGTTGGTTTTAGCTTTTGTTTAATTGATCTCAGTGGATCATGTGATACACTCTCCAGCATCTACTGATGGTTTTAGAGATCATGTTGTATGATTAAGGCTTCTGTTGCTTGCTTTCCAGCCGTATCTTCATGAATCTCGACACTTGCATGCTATGAGAAGAGCCAGAGGTTGCGGAGGCAGGTTCCTGAGCAAAAAGAATGTTGATAAATCAGATAGCCGTGCTGCTTCCAAGAAGAGCATCGATTTTAATGCTACGCCCACAGAGATGAAGGATTCACTTGGTTCTCAGCATCCCTTTTCCAGCACTTCTCAGAAGAGCTGTAACGAAGTGAAGGGGTTTCTGCTCCAAGAAATGCAGAACACAAACACTTTTGAATGGGGATATCAATACCATTGTAAAACTCAATAACTACCAATAGGGACTTCCAGGTAGCCATCGGACTGGAAAGTTGGGATGGAGAAATTCCTCACCACTGCTAAAAAGTGTCTTTTAGCTTGATACAGTGTTGATAGCTTGTAAAGTTGTGTGTGATACTGTGACACATTCTGCAGCTGTGAAACGGGCGTTTCTATAAGAGGGATGGATTGTTCTTACGAGCAAAATTTTGGTCTGAGAGTTTCGGTTGTACAGTTAACGTATTTCTGGTGGCATATGAACCAATTACTGATGTATTTAGCAGTATGGCTGCAGCTGCTTAGCTATCAAAACAATCTTATGACACTATAATTTTTAGCCTAAAATGCACTTCTTGTTTAAGGCCAATGTTTCATAGGCGGGATGGACCTCGAACTTTGCTGCTTCCAGCCTCCCCATTTCCTTTACAATGTAGACACGGCACAAGGTTGTGTGTGAAACTTTTTGGAAAAATATTTTTGCAAAACTACGACTACGTTTTTCCAAAATACAGTGATGTGTAAAATGCTTGAGGCTAAAGTGAATCGAGCTAACTTGTTGAGAGCTTGTCAGCCTGCTCAATCACTAATCACTAATACGGTCGAGTTGAGTTCGACAAGTTTTTTGGTCGAGTTTGAGCTGTTTAATACTTGAGTTGACGAGCTTTTTAGTGAAATTTGGGCTATTCGATACTTGACATAAATGCTCTTGGGGCCTAACAACATATATTCCTTTTATTTTATTTTTTATATGTATTTAGAGTAACATATATACATATATATATTATCTATTATAAAAAATAATTATTATAATTCATTTCAATTTAATTTGAGGTTAATTAGGTTCGAATTCAAGCTCATTTATACATGTACTTGAATTCGAGTTGGACATTGAATGTTCAAGTTTGACCTAGCAAAGCGAAGTCAAGCCCAGTTGGAACCCATTCTTGGGTTTTTGCGGCCTTGTTTGAGGCCATAGTAAAACATTTTTGGGGAATTGGGGGAGTATGTGTTCATTGCTGGATTTTTTTTTTGTTATTATAAAACTCAAGTCAGATTACTCTAGATTCCAGCAGTCAGAAATCTGAACTGTTTTGAGCTTTGTAGTTAAAAAAGTCACTAGTAAGCTTGGAAAAAAAAAACATTTGGACTCCAAATTTTCCTAAGAGTGATGCTCTTGGTTACTAGGTCAAGGAGTACACGGTAAAATTGTAAATTGCAAAATTGTAAGGCAATTCTGAAATTGTAACGAAGGTAAAAATTTTAAACTACTACTGCTCTGGACTGTAAGACCAAACTTTTAAAGGGATTGAGCAAAATCTTGGACCAAATCAAAACCGTTTATCAGGTTCTTCATCAATTCAAAAAAACATGAGTGATGAGTGGATGTTGGGGTTGGAATCAGTAAAGGCAAGAAAGGAGGACTGACCAAATCCAAATCAAATGGACTCTGTCACCAGCACCAGCAATGTATCTATGGTGGTAAGATGTTTGGTTCAAGCAATCTATTCATTTCCTAGTACCAACTACCAACCAAATTTGCAAAATTAGTTGATTCCTAAGTCTCCAAGTCGAAAATAAAACCAAAAAAAAAAAAAGGAAAGGAAATTTTGACTTCTATTAACTCTAATGCTCTTTCACATCTTGTTTTGTTTATTTGTTTATTTTCTGATTCAAGTGAAACTCTTAGAAGCGTAAGAACACCCTCCTCTCCCCAAAAAAAAAAAAGAGAGGAGACGAAGGAGAAGAAGGAGCAGTCTTGGTAGAGAAAGGGGACGAGTTACATATGTTCTTATCAGTTGGATTGGATTTTGGAAGCACGTTTCTATGCATTTAGAATGCAAAAAATGGCCTTGTTTAGCAGGCAAGTTTTTTATCAAGTTTGTCTGCTACAAGTAACTTTAGCTACACTAATCTCAAAAATTTCAAGCTATACATTTCAAAATATTAAAAAATGTACACATTTTAATTTTTTTTTAAAATTCTACAGTAAACTACAGTAAAAAAAATTTAGACAAACATCCAAAAAATTCACTTGGTATTATGAAAAACATCTGAATGCCTATTTTTTTTTTAAAAAAAAATATTATTATACTTGAAATATAAATACGTTTTTTTTTAACTGCCTTCTCATTTCACATGTATCAAATCATAAAAAATATATTAATAAATATTTCAACTAATAAATCCAAACACAATAATGATTGTAAAACTCTTGCGTAGAAGAAAGTAAGATTCCTTAACCGAAGAAACAACGACAATTAAAGAAAAACTAGCAGGAAATTTCCTAGAATTTTCAAACAAAAGACATGTCTTAATTATCATCAGGTCCACCTTCCAATATCAGTCAACACTAGCTTTGAAAAGCTTGTACCAAAGAAGAAAGCTTACTAATGCCGGCAAAATTTGGCAACTTGTAGCGGGAAGATAATAATAGCAGGCCGGACAGACATGTGGCCACTTGCAAAATTCTGAAAATTTGAGGGGCCCATTTGGCCTCTTCGACAATCATAACAAAATTCTTTTCTAGGGCCCCCCCTCTTGAATGGGCCAATTCTACATCGAGTATCCTATGATAAAACGAGGATACAGCACTGCGGCTGGGCTGTCTCCGTCACTTGTCAAGTTGGATCTCTCCCCCACCCCCAGGCCCCAGCCACCGCCCTGAGCTTTTAGAAAGAATTTGAAAGTCCTGTTCAACGCTTCTAGAAGACTATTGCAAAATTACTTAATTCCTTGGGCCAAAACTTCAATTTGGTCCCTCAAATTTACAAGTTTTGTATTGACCTTCCAAGAATAACATAAAATCCTAAATTGGTCCTTTTAGTTGAAAAGTTTCAACTTGGTCATCCAAAATAGCGTGAAGTCTCAATTCGTGCTCTCAAAAACTAAAAGATCAGAAGAAGGATTGGATTGAGTAGTAAGATGACGGAAATTGTAAGTAGAAGATTTTGAATTCAAAACATTCTACTTATCAAAACACAAATCTAAAAGATTATCAATTTGAAGTTTGAAATTCAGAAAACAGTTTAAACTTGATCTTCCAAACATACATATAATGGTTGGATGCATCACCTTTTAACTTTTTATCAAAGGATTCTATTGTAAAAATAAAACCTAAGCAAGGCCATCTTATTAGTCATTCTACAACAAAAAGCTTTCTTCTTTTTTCCCTTAAATGATGGTAAAGGTCCGTTCATTTGAGATTCCTAACACTTCCTTGTTCTTTAAGGGTAGTTGCAACTTGGGCACCACTTGGATATGTTAAGGTAGATTTATCATAGGCATCCAATTAAGGAGTTGATCCACACATTCATCCCAACAGCCTTGCTTGATTGCTTGCATGTGATTGATATATCACTACCAAGTTCAAGTTTCTGTTCAACTGCAATTCTTCCAGCTCAGGGAAGATTATTAATTCTTGAAGCAAACGTGTTGTGGTGATTGACACTATTGTGGTCCATGAATTATGACCCACCGTGCCTCCTTTGCAAGAAGTCACTGGGGAAATTCCCTTCCCACTATTGTTTGATCCGTTTGATGGTAAAATTTGCCAAACAACTGTTTCTTCACGGACAACTTGCTTGTTTCTGTGTATATCACAATTTTCTCACTACTTTTGATGGACAGTGCCAAAAGCGCGATTATTGTCGGCATACATACTCTGCTACACCTAGAAATCAAATATTGTGCCTCGTGCAGCCATCATAAATCAAATCAATTGTGATTTGAAAGATCAGGGATTTGTAATCCGCTGTTCATCATGATCATCTTCTGGCTGTTACACTACTGAATTCTTGACCGTAATTAGTTGCTAGACATCTGTGATCTTCATTCGCTCACTTCATGATCGACGGTCCTTCACCTTCAATTTCATACTCTTGAATCACTTCAACTTCATGCAAGTGCTCTCCATCTCCTTCTACAGCCACTTTATTAGCAAGTTATTCATGTTAGTTTGGGAATTTCAAGACTGTTTTAAACCACACATAATTAGCATAAAGTCCACTAAAAAGCGCAGTTTTAGTTACATCAGGTTTTGTCAATTATGGTGAATACCATGGCAAACATAATCCAAACAAAAGACAGAGTTGGATCATGCTATGATGATACCCTGTTATGGCAAGGGAACACTTTTGAGTTAATTTCTAGACAGTGAAGGGAGTTAATTTCTTGATCTGGCCAAGCAATTAGCAGCCCATTTTGTACACTCTAAAGGCAACGCAAAGTGCTAGATCAACAGTATTTTTTCACCCAAAAAATTGAAAAGACCAACCAGGATAAAGAAGTCGAATACATGTCCATGCATGAGGGGGAAAAAAATAAACACGAATAATAACTCAAAAGATGCATGCCCAAATAAATCCCTCCATGGTTCAAGACTCAAGACGTCAATCTTTTTCCTTCATCATCTCTCAAAGTAAAAGGAAAAGGAGCAAGAGTTTGAGGCTAGAAGCTCAACCAATATATATATATATATATATGGAGTAGGCATTCTATCTACTGTGTGGCAGGAGGTTAAAAGTTGAAATGGTTACCTCTCCAAATCATCTATGCTTTAGAAAAATGACTTTTCAAAGTAAAACTGATTCTTTATGGGAATCAGAACTTCAGAAAAGCTTCAACTTGTCTTAGGTTAACTGAAAAGAAAAAAGACTGAAGAAGAGAGGAAAGAGAAAACTAAAGTCAAGTAGAAAATTGATGTTGGCTAAGGTTTATGACCATTTATGCCATTTGTCATTGAATCACTGGTATAAATATCGAGCCCTCTTGTCCTTCCTGGTGCCCCTCCTTTGAGTGAGGACAAATCCAGCAAAAATCTGCACGTAAGTTCCAAAAGTTAGAAATATTCATGGGACATCAAGAAGACAGGCCTACCTGTAAACCACATACATGTTTTTGGAAGCTCTTTCTCGAGTGCCACAACTTATGAGAATCTTCTTATCAATCTTTGATACCGAATGGTCCCTTGGCAAGTCGACTAATGGCGGAGCTGCAACAGAAAGTACCCGCTTTAGATAAATAAAATCTCTAGTTGGAACTAAAAATGAGGCACTCAAAAGAATGTACAAGACAAGGCATACATGATTCATTTATTATCTCCACAGCTTCATCAAGGTCCAACAGTTTCTACATCAATAACAAGATAAATTGTGAGCATAAGATTTAAGAGGGGCGATGTGGAGTGAATGGCAATCTGGAGGATGAGAGCCAACCTTAAGGCTCGCATAACAAGTCTCCAGGTCATCATTCACCAACATGTGATCAAAGAGTCCTTGTGACTTGGCTTGTTCAAGCTCAGCCTTTGCATTTTGTAGTCGCTTTTGGATCTGTTGTTCAGTTTCAGTTCCCCTGTCAAAGTCAATAAACTTCATCTCAATCCAACAGATGATGTGAGGACAGCAAAATTTGAATGTCTAGGTGAGCCCACCTTGCACGAAGGCGCTTCTCAAGCTCCTCAAACGAGGGAGGACAAACAAAGATGAAAATGGCTTCAAGAGAACTAGCCCTCACGGACCTTGCCCCTTGAACATCAATATCAAGGATGCATCTCTACACAAAATCATACAAGACCATTTTCAATGTTGCAATACTGAATTTAGCCATGCACTTAATTTTGACTACGAGATACTGGCATAATCATGATGGACTGTAATCACCTATGGATGCTTATCACATCAAACCATGACGCCATTCGTTTTTTCATCTTCTATCCAACGAATATTGATCCCAAGGGCATATCAACTCATTAAAGCTCCAAATTTTGTAGTGATTTAGCAAAAACAGGATTTTTAACAGAAACTGAATATGAAACATTGATGAAACAGGAATTTAACCAGTCAGGTTGTGTCAAGAATCTAACTTAAAGGTGACAACCAAAAAGTAAAGGCTCCAAAGTTGCTAACAGACATCAAAACTACATATTGGAACCAAAGGAGGTATCGCATAGGAAAGTGCAAGTTTAGCTGATTTTGTGAAGCTATTGACTAAGGTCAGCTAAATAACCTGTAATGAATGGTATTTTATCTACCGAATGATCTGTTTGATAGTCTCTTAATATCAGATCCCATATTGGTCATAAACACCATTTTTCTCTGCTAATTTAATCAGGAAGACACAACAAGGGTTGCCAATTTACCTTTCCAGCGTCTGCAACCACCTCAACCGCTTCTATGCTGGTTCCATAGAGATTTCCATGAACTTCAGCAAACTCAAGAAACTTTCCATCTCTAATCTCTTCCGCCATGACGCTTCGTTCAGTAAAATGATAGTGGACCCCATTCTGCTCTCTCTCCCTCGGAGCACGGGTAGTATGGCTCACAGAAAACCCAAATGTTGATGGAAATTCTTTCATCAGTGCAGATATTAAGGTACCCTTACCAACTCCAGAAGGCCCACTGATAACGATTGGCTTTTTAGCATCACCTACAACTCCTTTGCTCCATGCAACCACCTCAGTTCCAAATTCCTTTCTCTTCTCTTGGACAAAGGGTGTGTCTACCTGTTCATGGTGGATCTATAGCATAAAAAACAGAACCATGTGCACTGACCAAACTTCAGAAAACAAATCCGTGTGCATTAATTACAGAATCTAAACTGACCATCTTAATTAAGGCTCCTTAAGATATTTTACGCCAATCGCCATTTAACTTTTATCAAACCCAGCCAAGATCCATATCTAACAGCCACGAAAATCAAAAAAACAAAAGCACCACTATTTACCAACCTCAAGGAACCAAAAGCAGTCATCTGGGCTAGAATCCCCCTTGAGAATGAAAATCCGATCCTCATTCAAAATCACAGCTGAAATCACTTCAGATGGTTTCGGTCTTGTTCCCAATACAGTGGGTGTAACCCTTGAAATATAAGCAAAATTAAATCACCCAACATCTATAATTCATAAAGTTTAAAAAAAAAAAAAACTTTATATTTCAGAATCAAAACTCACCATCCTCCAGTACGTTTATCAGAAACCCGAACTCCAATCGTGGATTTTGATCCATGGTCAGTCCCACCAATTAAATACTGATTTAAACCAAAAATATATATATATAAAAAAAGGAACAAAGCAATCATTCAGAATTGCCATCACCTGATTAAGTCACAAAAGAAAGTTATATTGTAGAACTGCATTAAATACATATAAGGGAGCACCATACTGTTTTATTTCCAACATTAACAACCGTATTGTGGCCTTCGGATTTCAAGTCAAATCCATTAGGATAATCTCCAGGTAGATCATCTGCAACGAAAGCTGGAGCTCCCCCCTGAATTTTGCAGCAAGATATAGATCAGATCATGACAAACCAATCACTATAATTCTATGCATTCCAATAAAACCAATCGAAGATCATAGAACTCACCATAGATACAAAAAGCTTTCCTCTTTTTCAACGTAATCCCTGACTGAAACACGAAACAAGATTTCCAATAAATCCCTGATCCTAGATCTTACATTGCAACGAAATCTTTCAACTCAGTAGACAAGTGCTCAGATTGATATAAAAATTTAGAATGCATCCCAAGTTTCCATTTTAATGCCTTTTCCTTCTTGAAGGGTCAAAGTTCTCTCTCTCTTTTTTTTTTTGGATTGATTTCAAAATCAATGCTAAAACCCCACCTGGAAACGCCATGTGATAAAAAAGTTCATATAAAAAAAAGCCCTGATGCTAATTTATCACGTTGTTCGACACAATGTAAAATACCACAAACATAACAACAACAAAACAATATATCAAACACATTGTGCTGCCTCATAAGGAATTACGTCCGTGTTTGTTTATGCAGAGCTGGAAGAAGGAAAATAACATAAAAAAACAACCTTAATACAGCACAGCCTAATCATAAACTCATGATTTGAGGTCAAGGGATTATCAAATACCTGCTACAAAAGGGAGGGGCAAGAAGCTAGATTTTTTCTTTTTCTTTTCTATATATGTATATATATAATCTTTTGAATGAATATAAACGGAAGTAGAGTATTTTCGAGAAAGGGTCAGTAAAGGAAACCACTTTGAGTGATGAATTCAACTTAGATAAAGATTCCCCACTCCCCAGTTGTCAAAGGAAAGCCGGCAAAAGACCAGAAACTTTGACGAGGAAGAGGAAGTTGGAAGAAACCTTAAGGAGCATGGGCTTTATTTGTAGCCTAAGCAAAGGAGGTGATGGGGAAGCGGAGCTAGAAGGCAGGGCAGGCGGGGTGGGGGCCAACGCCAACAGAAGGAAGGACTTAGGAGAGCGGTGGCTTTTTGGTCTCATTCAGTTCACGCAGTGGACACGACCAGGTCGGCTTCCTTTTTATATTTTCTATTCTTGAAGAAAAAATTCCTCAAATTAGGGCAAATTTCGGCAATATATATATATATATATATATATATTGGTTTTAATACGGAGGCTTCCGTGAAAGTTGAGGACTTGGGGGCCTTGGGGATGTAGAATTGGAATCCTAGCCCACGAGCAAAGTAATAAATGTTATCCTTTGAGCTAGGGCTGCAAATGAATCGAACCGCTGGCTCTAGTCGAAATCGAGCTCGAACTCGAGATCAAAATATTAAGTTCATTAGTTCGCGAGCTCCAGTATATATATATATATATATATTTTTTAAAATTTTTTATTTTAAGTATATATATTTTTTATTTTTTATTTTAAGTATATATATATTTTATAGTTTTTTAATTTTAATAGTAAAATTACATATATATTCTTAATATTTTATTATTTATTAAGAAAAAAATATTATTTTTATTTATTTTTTAAAAATAAAATAATTTTTTTTTATTTTTTTCAAGCTTGAGCTTGAAATTGTCAGCTCGTCGAGCTCGAGCTTGAGTTTGAGTTCAATGAAATTATGTCGAGACTCGACTCGATTAGACCAAAACTTGACTCGACTCGACTCGACTCGTTTGCAGCCCTAGTCTAAACCACTCATTCTATAGATGGTTTACAAATGAATTTTGTTTGATTTCTCAATTTACCCGCAAAAAAAATTCCAATGTATGTGCAGAATTCTAGTATTAAGTTAGATAATAAATTCAATTTTCCATCTCTTTTCATTTTTCAGTTAATTACCTACTTATTTTAATCTATGCTAACTCTTTTTTTTTTTTTGACATGTGATGCATACTTATCCTTTTTTTTTTAATGTAATCGACAATAATCCTAAATCAGGTACATGTTAAAACTAAAGTATATATAAAAATTGTTCGTAATAACAAAGTTTCAAAGTATGCTTATATAAGCATTAAAATATTTTCACTTAGAAAAAAAAAAAAAAAAAGAGATGAGCATTACTACATCGTAAGTATTTTCGGAGAATGTAAAAGCGGCATTAATAAAAGAGAACAGTGTTACTCCTACATAATAAGTATTTATCGTTAATGATATTTAACTGGAGGATAAGAAAGTTAAGAATGTAGCAAAAGAAGTAAATTGGCCAAAAAATAAATAATGCCAAGTTTGATAATTTAATTTTAATTCAACACTTATATTTTGTGGGTTTAAAGCGTAATATGTTCAAATGTGTTTGCTAACAAAAAAAAAATATATTATATTAATTAATTAATTGGTTCGTAATTGTTTAGGCAAAATTATTCAGAACAATAAGAAATAAGTGAATAATTCAATAACTTAATACAAAATAAGGCTTGTACAAATATTTTTATTCACAGAGATTACACTAGTTATGTTGAATATATAAGTCAAACTTCAAGAATATCCCTGTACTTGCCATGGACAGGACAATTGACAAATAGTAAAGTTGGCTAACCTCCTCCGGACAGAATCCCTAACTTGTTCAAAAGTCCTTTTATTCGTCAGTATCTATACAGAATTTTCAAATGATGCGGATCCAAATTGTAAATCGAACAGAATTTTGCACTTTACTTTTCGTTGTGGTAGATGCTGGCCATTTGACAAATTGATGAGTTTTGTGGCAAATTCAGAAATTAGAAGCTTCTAACGTCAAATTTGGCATTGTTTAGATTGCAGTTTTCTAGAAGAATAAATATTTATTTTACACATTTATCATCTGCCTTTTAATTTCATATACATCGCATCTTAAAAAGTGTTACAGTAATTTTTTTTTTAATTTACAAAACACTCTTAACATAACCAAAGGTTTTTGCGCTTTAGTTCTACTATTCTAGTTCAATAGTTATTCTTTTTTTTTTTTTTTTTTGAGAAAATGACATGTTTCATCATTCACATTTCGTAAAAATATTCTTTTCGTCCCTCACTTTTAAAATAAAGCAAATTCATCCCTAACTTTTAAAAGTGAGGAACGAAAAGAATATTTTGTGAAATGTGAATGATGAAACCAATCATTTTAAAAGGTGTTACAATAATTGTTCATTTTATATTTTTTGAGCTTCGTGCAAGTATTGAGATCTACATTTTATTTTGGAATCTCAATTATTTGCATTTCAACATTTTCTTTAGGTTTTGGACAGACGCAATTAATACGTTTACCCTTCAATGCAAGGGAAGTTTCTTCGTGGGAACTTTCAGAATTTGTGGCTTCTTGGTTGACTAGTAGACTACAATTAATCTGTGGTTCTAGAAGCAATTTATTGTAGCACTGATTTTGACGTAAATTTTCACAAGAATTTTGATGTAACACTCTTTTTTTTTTGGGTAATAAAAAAGTTTGGGTGTATTTTGTCTCTCTATACATTTAATACACATGATATAATATAGTATTTAATAATCCAATAACGTGCATGGACTAGATTTATTGCACATGGTACGAACAAAGAATTATTTCGCTATCCATTGAAATTTACCGCTTGGGTCGGGCTTTGTCCTCTGTGTTAAATTCAAAGTCTATTTTATCTTTATTTATGATAATGAAATATACTCCAAATATACAGGTTATACTTGGGTTATCAGTAAATAAAACCTACATCTCAACATTTGAACTTGATTTTGGATTTTAATCCGTTCCATGTAAGTTAAAAAAATAAATAAAATGGTACTTCCAAAATCACTCACATTGAGGAAACTGCTTCCTTGAGTCCTTTACCCATTTTCATTGGGATAATTTAATTTCAGAAACCTCCTCCCCTGAGGTTGCTGATAGTTCATTTGGCGCTCTTAAATTTAAAAAAAAAATCTTAATTGTCTCCCTCGTCTTGGGGCTTTTGTATCATGTACAGCTCATTTTAAAATATAATATTAACAAATTCATTTTGGAACAGTAAATATAATCTCATTCTAAAGTTGACTTTTTATTGTCTTACTTTTTATTACAAAATGGCGAGTATTATTAATAACAAGTAAAACATAAAAACAAAAGGTATGAAACTTCATTGTAGTAGTTTCTTTACTATAAAGTGTTTTGAGTTAATTTAAGATGTTTTATAAATCTTTTACATGTTTTGAATTTTCTGATTTTTCCAAATTGAAGGCTTGAAAAATAAAAAGATATAACATGCTAAAAATTATATATAAACTTGTTTGATTGATTTTAAGCTGGTGTAAAAATATATTCTCATGGCTGTAAATTATTGGAAGTTATTTTTAAGAGATTGTAAATTATTCATAATTTTAAGTAATTTAACATTTCTTGTTCAAACCAATGACACAAAAACTATTAAAGAGTTTTTTTTTTATCTTGTTATCAATTTTTTAATTTTCATTATAGAACTACATTGATCAATTGACAAAAATAAAGATATAAATTTGGTGCATTATGATAATTAAGAAATCACACGAAAAGGGCAAATTTGAAATGAAATTGTACTCTTTCTTTTAAAATGAGTGCCACATGAAATTGTCAGAAATTTTAGGGGTGGTTCTAAAATTATCCATTTTTCATTATCTAAAATGATATCTCTACTTTATTATTATTTTTTAAAACAGTATTAGTTGATCCTATAGTGTCCCATGAAGGAAAAGGACGTAATTTCCCCTTGTAAATTTCTATGTAACTGTAAATTGTACCATATTTATTTCTATTTAGTTGTACAAAACATCCAAAGTCAGTTATTTATGAAAATTAACATGATCTGAGAGGGGGTAAATTTAGTTTTAATTTTCATAATTTATATGACCATTGGCTATTGAGCATAAAAAATCTAGAGGTGATCCATTGGAAAAAAGCCTTTTCACATTGATGTGATTTTAATCCTCATATACCTAAAACCTACTATTCTTCTTTGCTCATTCAAAAATCACGGAATTGAAAAATGAAGATGCATTTCCAACCGTCCCCATTCTCACTGCCCTTTTCCTTGAATTGATTATTAAGAACTGACACTAACAATTTAAGTCAAAATGGCTTAAAAATGAAAAACAAAGTATAAGGCAGAAAAGTTTATTTAAAAAAATTATGCCGAAAAGAAAATGAAGAGAATTAAATCAGACTTTCTTATTTTAGTTGTTGCCAATTTGATATGTGGCCGGTTTCTAGTTTCCCGTTTGCAGTTGCATATCATTGTCAGTTTCCTAAAGTTCTAGGACGGTTAAATACAAGTCGAGTCCGGAAGCGCGTGATTCGTCTATTTCCTTATTGGAGGATAGAGTTGTCAGTGGTCGAATCCATGATTGTTTTGTGTCCTTTAGTCGGTTCGGATTAACCTTTGGCTATTAGGATTTAAGAAAGTTATGAGTGTATAGATGTGAATAATGCTATTACATTAACAGATGAAGAGTTGAGTTGAGTTTTAAAAAATTAAGTTGTGGAAAAGCCTCTAAAAATTATTATGTGTGAGTCATCGTAAACGAAAAAGTTATGACTTCATGTTGTTATTGTTAATATTTGAATTAATTAAATTATTAAATATTTGTTGTACTTTTATTCTCCCTCTCTTCCCATATATTTGTATACGCTTAAATAGTTTCCGGTGTGCGTGCTTTTTTGGTACTAAGTGGTATCAAAATTCTGGGCTTTGATCCTAGAGTTTGTTCATAAAATTAGGACACAAAATTGATCCTAATTGAGTAGATATTACAAAAATTAAAATATGGATCCATATTATTTATAACATTGTGCCATTTTTATATTCGATAGTAAAAACGAATTTAAGATTTGGAGTTGGATGATGAAGACATTTTTTCAAGCTCTTAGAGTTGAGGATATTGTTCAAACATAGTTCAATAAACCCGTAGAAGGCGCCAAACTATCAGACAATGCAGTTAAAGACTTAGAGAGGAATAGACAATTGGATTGTAAGGCATTTCACTGTTTAGTATCAAAGTCCATTTGCATGTATTCAAAAAATTCATGCATGCTAAAACTGTAAGAGAGGTTTGGATAACTTCGGTGAATTCTATTTGTGGTCATG